TTTCTAGTAAATTCGGCTGCAGAGACTTCTCAAAACGTGGATTTAGTGTTCGTAGACGAAGATGAAATGCCATTGACTTCTGTAGCTATAGGCACGGCATATTTAGAGCGAGAGTCTGACGAAGAAATTGACTCAGACTTTTATCAGACTGACTCTGAGGCTGAAGAAAGTGACGAAAATGAAGAATTACAACAAGCAGGTCCTCCCAGGAAGCGGAGACGTACAGCACAGGGCGAAAACGATGTTGTGGGCGATCCTGTTTGGGTAGAAGACATCAGGACGCATTCAGACCTGCCTTTCACCCAACCCACGGGGCCTAAAGTTCGAATGGGAGCGGATCAAAAAGACCCAGTGAGTTATTTTTGTCTGTTTTTTACTGATGCCTTGCTTGATCTAGTTGTGACACAAACAAATTTGTATGCTGCCCAAGAGAGAGCCAAAACCCCGGATAAACACCGTATGCCTTGGCACGCAGTGGACAAAGATGAAATAAGAACATTTATTGCCTTGATTTTAGCAATGGGGCTGGTAAACAAACCTACCATACATAGTTACTGGTCCACTGATGAGATACTTCAAACACCATTCTTCACAAATTGCATGTCAAGGAATCGGTTTACACAAATTTTGAGGTATATACATTTTGTGAACAATACACAATTAATTCCTAGAGGTCAAGATGGATATGACAAACTGGGGAAAATTAGGCCCTTCTTAGAACTAATTAAAAACCGGTTCCAAAGAGTTTATGCCCCAAGCAGGAACCTGTCAGTGGATGAAACCCTTGTGAAGTTTAAAGGACGCCTTTCATGGAGGCAGTATATGAGGGACAAACCAGCAAGATTTGGCCTCAAGGAATTTACTTTGGCTGACTCTGAAAATGGCTATGTGTTAGACATAAATGTTTATACAGGCAAGGAATGTGGACATGAGTCTAAAGGTTTAGCTCAAAGAGTTGTTTTGAAACTTGTGGAACCATTTTATGGACTAGGATACAATATATTTATGGATAATTACTACACCTCAGTTCAACTTTTTGAGAAGCTTTATGATCAGGGTCTTCAAGCCCGTGGAACATGTCGGGGGGATCGGATCGGTCTTCCTCGAGATGTGACAACATCGACCTCTGCTACTGTAAAGAGGATGAAACGTGGTGAAGCAATTTTTCGGCAAAAACATCACCTCACTTGAGTGACATGGAAAGACAGAAAACCTGTGACTATTCTGACAACTTTACCAGCTAATGAAGAAATGGGAGTTGCTGAAAGGTCAGTGCGAGAAGCAAACGTCTGGCATAGGAGAGACTTTGCCTGTCCCATACCAGTGCAACAATACAATTTACACATGGGTGGTGTTGATGTTGCAGACCAGAGGACAACTGCCTATGCAAGGCTCATGAAAGGCTGGACATGGTATCTAAAACTCTTCTATCATTTCTTGGAGGTGTCAGTTTTGAATGCATATCTTGTTTACTGCAAGGGAAAAGATGATGATCAACCAGATCTGAGCATGATGGATTTCCGGATTTTGGTAATCAGAGGTTTACATGGTGGAAGGAGCTACAAGATTACCCCCACAGCTGCTGCACCTCAAATACACCGCAAAAAAAGCATTTTTTTAAATGAGTTAGATTAATTCAAAATGAGTTAGATTAACTCAAAATTTGAGTTAACTCAGGAATTAACTCAATATATTGAGTTAAGTTACTCAAATATTTCTACTAAAATTTGTCAAGTAATATAACTCACAATATGTGAGTTTATTTACTAGGTATTGAGTAAATTAACTAAAAGTTGAGTCTGTCATAAGGAATACAGGGATGAGGGATGATTTTGAGATGGGCTTTACCAGCAAAGGATGCTTTCTGCTGGGATATTTTTGCTATATTTGCTACACATTATGTAACAGTATAAAGTAACACGTGCACTATGACAAGACATAGTACACAAGCAATTGACACAAATTCGAACAATATTAAACAACCTTTACAAATCGATCCATCCCTAAAATGGCCAAAGTACATGAATAAAACACCCATAAATCATTGAAATACCCAATAACTCTTTGATAATTCAGAGAATCTAACTCAAATGTTGAGTTAAATTACTCAATCGCATTATGATATCCAAGTTGGTTTCTGAGTAATTCTACTCAGAAAAAATGGAGCATGAATAGCACCACAACATAGTTGAAACAAAAGTAATTATTTTTTTTAATAATTTTTCTTTATATTTTTGCAGCCATTTTAAGAAACTTTACTTTCTATTCTGCAATATACTATTTATCATGATTTTTTCTGTATTATTTACATGCATCAATATAGCAAAATGTAACCAAAAATATCATTACTGCATAAGATCCAATCTGTATTTCAATGTCACGAAGACTTGGTTGGCATAGCAACCAAATCCCTTAACGAGACCAAGGGGTAATAATCTAGAAGCTCAGATTGCTTAATATATCTTATTTCGTTCAGTTGCTGAACTTTAAAAGCATTTAAATGACAGACAAATTCAGTAACATTTATTTTAAGGTACTGAAACCAAACTATGTGTCTCTCAACAACCAAAACCTTTTGGATCTTTCCCAAAATTGGAAAGCCATGGTGGTAGTCAATTACAATAACATCGCCCTTTACGTATTTGGTTCCATAAACTTTAACCCAGGATGTGCGTGTCAGTGAACTGTCGCCTTTAGTTTGGGGGTCTGCCTCTTGCAGCTCATCTTCTACTCCTGCTTCTTGAACAGTTGTTACCCTTCCAACAGCTAAAAAGTTATATAAAATATATATATATATTAAAGGAAACTCTCATGATTTAGCCAATGACATTGAACATGGGGTTAAATTAATTTAATGCTTAGGTCATTAATTACTGGGGGAGGGCTGGTAAGTTTAGGGGGCTTTGATTTGGGAAGGGCCAAAAAATTTTGGACCAGCATTTAGGGAGAGGGACAAGGCTTTGATTTGGGGAGGACAAGATTTCTTGGGATGAAGGTTTAGAAATTTTACTGGCCCTCCCCCCCAGTAATTAATGATGGCTCCCTTACCAGGTCCAATTTCCAAAGACACTCTCAAATAGTTGCCTTGTGAACTTTGCATTCGATAAGTCTGAAGGGCTTGATGCCTCATAGCCAAGGAATAGGTGATATTTTTGAAATTGTTGATGTTGTCTACCAGCTTTTTAAAGTAGTTATGTTTGGCCTCGAACCTCATGGCCCAGTTTCTTACTAGGGGACCATTTCTGTAAATGGAAGATTACTAGATATTATTAAAAAACTCATTAATAATTCATAAGCCTTTGGGCCAACTGGATACACCATACATATTACATGCATGGACCTTTATACTCGATAATGTCCCCCTTTAAGTCCATCTTTTAGATGAACCTTTATATAAAAAAATTACCTTCATTAGTATTCTTTATATAAAGAACACTAAGACAGATGACTTTATCTGAGAGGAAGTATATGTCCATGTTTAGATGAAGACTTAGAGCCTCATCAAGGTCTCATCACACCCTAAAATTCCAGATTGCCATGTATAGAATATTGAGCATGTGGGAGTTTCTTTTAGAGCTACTCGCACATGCCTGTGACGTCAAATATCTATTGAAGTATGAAAGTCCATGTATGGTGGCTCCAGTGGAACCAAAATCTTATAATTATGAGGTCTAAAAACACTCGGCTGCACCTCATGCTTCTAAACCTGATAAGACATTATTGCTCATTCATTAAACATCACATAAAACTATAAGTAATACTGCATTATATACCCATGTATAAGCTGCACTGCAAGTTTCAGAAAACTTAAATAATCAGCATGATGAAGTCTGAGTGGGCTAATAATACATATATTGAAAGGGTATGTAAAGTTATGAAAGGTGGATAAAGTGGTAATACCCTTCCCCTAACCCCCAGTAGTACAAAATGTACAATGCTTACAATTTCAATATAAAAAGACATACTTGATAATTTGATTTGGGTAATGCACCATGTAATGCTGTTTTGGGATTGGAAGCCGGTCATTGAGGTTGACATAGTCCTCTAGGTACTCCTCTATGAGAACTCCAAGATATGCAGCCAGCTGTGGTGTTGCTTTAGGAGCAAAAACAATTTCTTCAATTTTCAGTAGTCGCAAAAAATTTTCCCAGTGCTCATCATTTTGTGGAATCAAGTCTCCTATAAGTATAGGAAACATTCTTGCCAGGCACCACATCCGAGCTGCTGGTGAAAGAAAGAAAAAGAATATGAAATTATCATGTACTTTTAGTATACAACAAAGCCTTTTATATATATTTTTTGTATATTTCTTTTTCTTTTTAAAATATAACATAATATATAATAGTAATATGTAACTCAACCATTGCAAAACATCATTCTCCTAACCTGACTGTGAAATCCTCATTGAATTGTTTGCCAATGACTGCGGCTTTATAGGACTTGGTTTATTGCTAGCATCAGATTGAGGATACCACAATCTTTCTAATCTGTCATTCACAATTTCAAGTGTGAAATAATTTTCCTCTTGAATGTACTTCTGTAACAGAATCTTGACTTCTAGGGGCAGCACTCCCTCAAGTTGGTCATGCATGACATCAAGAACAAGTCCATCAGTAATGTGGAAGTAACGGGACTGGTTGAGAACACTTCTTGTTTTTACCCCATAAGTTGCTTCTAGATTTGCATCATTTTCTACAAGCCGGCAATGTCTGTCATGGATTGCTCTTGTTCTAATTTGAAAATCTGCTTCTGTAAACTAATATCAATGTGACATTCACAATATGAGTTGTATAATAGTATATTCATCTCAAGTCCATGAACTTTGAAGTGTAGACTCATATTAACACTATTGACACAGGGTCTGATCAAAAGTCTAAACTTATTTGTAACAAAATTTAGAATGCCGGTAAATAATCTTTTACACTTGACACATTGAATAATGACCAAAAATGCATGCACACTACTACTACTACCTTTGTGTTAGTGTCTTCTCTAGTTGCCATACAAATTCTACAAATCCTTAGACCAGAAAAGCTCTCCTGAAAACCACCAAGAGAATGTGCCCCAAGATTGTCACTTGAATAAGGTCCAATGGAACCACTGAATGTTCTTTCTTGTTCATCTATCCAAAATGTTACACCTCTATCCTAGGAAGAAAACAAATACATATTTTTTAATTAAATTATAAATTAATATTAATGACAATGTGCACTTAATTATTTTTATATGGTTGAACTTACATTTAGGTGACAGTTAAGTGTATGCTACAATATACTTACTGCCTCTAGTTGATGCAGGTCTTGCATGAATGGCTGCAGTATCCTATTCATTCCATACTTTTTTATGAGCGGTACTCGGCACAAAGCAATTAGCTGAATTGAGTTGATAACAGAACGGTATTCTGGACTAAGATTTCCCAGATTGAAGTAAAAGGCTCCTGATGTTCATAAAAAAATCAATTTCAATGGCAATAGTCATAACATGTTGTGCCAAACCAAATGCATACCTCAAACAATGTTTTCCTTTGATATTTTTCAATTCTGCTTTAATTCTGCTGACTGTTTTTACCACCTATTTATGTTTAAGGTATTTGGCTCAACATACTAGGTATGACGTATGAATCAAGGCTGAACCTTCTTTAGTTTGGGTCAACACAAATGTGCTATTGTGCAGCACAACAGAAGCACGTCGTATGAACCAGACCTTACATTTGCACTTATTTTACACTGCACATTTGAGGGAACTTACTCTCATTGCATGTACACATTCAATATTTTGATATTGAACAGGATTGAAATTTAGGATGGTGGATGTTGCATGTCAAACCTCATAAACATTCATAAGTGAATAGGATATCCCCAAAAGATCAGTTTTTAGAGATTTCTCAAAATTTCCCTGCCAGACATTGTTTAAACATGACAAACATGCAATTAATATCTTGTGGATAGTTTGGTTGTAGTTTGTTTTTTCATCATCTGCAAACACACCATCAACAAGCACACACACACACACACACACACACAAAAACAGGAGATTGTCAGTCAATAAATAATAATGTTCATGATAATTATTAATGCTAACAGCAACCTAACAAAACACGTAATAGTTTACATGCCTGTAAATACATGATTGAAAAGCATACCTATTTTATGTTTTTTGTCTTTGATCCAAGCGGGTTTGTTACTTGAAAATCATCATAGTAACAATGAAGAAGTAGTGCATTACCAGGTTGTCCAAAAAGAGCATGCATTTTGTACTGTTCACTATCACAATAGTCTCTTAGAATTCCATCATTTGAGGAATGACCATTCATAACCTACAAAAGTACCCAAATTATTG